TGTAACTCAGCTCAAAAGTCAGTGTATATCGCCACGGATAGTTTCTAGTGTCATTCAATACAGGTCGAAATGCTCTCGGACTTAATGACCATTTCTATAGCTTAAAAAAAATTCGGTATGTGGGGAGCTAGGATACCAGAATACATAATAATGTAAGAATTAGATGTCTTTCGCCGTTAAACTTCTGCGAATTCCGCTTTTTGGACCCCTTTCTTTCGATTTTTGACAACCTCTCCGGATTTACTCTCTTAATAACGGAAATTATTTACAGGCCCAAATAACAGGCATTACTGCCGCTTTTAATTCTCGCATTTGAAAAATCCTAGTCTAGCTATAGTGCCCTTGATCATGCCTTTTTCCTCTGCCTCCACACTCCCCCTCCCCTCTCTTCCCTGATTTTTTATTTTAAAAATCAATTTTTTCTATCTGCCTATAGGGAGAGAGAGAGAGAAAAATAATGAGTGCCTCTTTATTTAAAATCGACAATGCATAGGAGAGGCATGCGTTTTATCGACATACACTTACGCTCGCGCTAGCTTGCCCTTTTAATAATTTATTTAAATTAATTTAAAAATATTATAACTCGCAAAAAGATTTTAATGTTGTAATGACTTTTTCAACATAATTAAGAGTTTTGTTGTAAAAAAAGCTTCATTCAAAATCATTATCTTAGAAAATTTTCCTTACCACAATCTCTATAACATAAAATTTTAAATAAAAAATATTTTTTCAGAAGAATGTGGTTATTTTTATTATTCATTGTTTTAAACACCTTTTATGAAACCACCGAAACATTGTCAATATTTGTCAAGATATCATGGCGGGAAATTAAAGAAAATAAATTCGAATATCCGCATCACTTAACGGACGAAACAAAGGAACGTTTCGAGTTGAAATTAACAGAAACTTTAGTTGATCATCCGGAAGGTTCACGAGAATTTTTTGAAAAAACAGACGGATATGATAACTACCATTTTAATGAATTTGATAATATTATAGAGGGAAAAGTCACTAAATATAATCTGGAAATTTCTGTTAATGGATACGATGTTAGTTAAATTCTTGGCAATAAATATAATGTTTTTGAAAACCCTTAAGTATTCCAAAAGGATCAATAATTAAAGCGGGCAGATCTTGAAACTGAATTTGGTTAGCTTTGAGTAAAGCTAACCACCCCTAAATGGAAAAGTTTAGGGGCTTTTAGGTTCGAGGATAGGCCGGATTTTTTACCCAAATCTTGTCCAAAACTGATTTTGAAGATTAAACTCGAAACTCGATAGATTCTTTTTTACCAGATTTTTTTAAATGAAACAAAAATTTTTTTAGATAATTGAGCCTATTAATGTATACAATGTTAGTTACATTTATGGCATTTTAAATTATATTTCCTAAAACACTTAATTTCCCCAAACAGACGGATAATTAAAGCTTATATGTCCTAAAACTGAATTTGGTTAGCTTTGAGTATATCAGTAATGGAAAAGCTTAGGGGATTTTTTTGGTTAGAGGATAGGCAGGATTTTTTACCCAAATCCTTTCCAAAATTGATTTCGAAGTTCAGGCATGAAACTCGACTCGCTTTTTCTATACCAGATTTTTTTAAATGAAACAAAAATTTTTTTAGATAATTGAGCCTATTAATGTAGAAAAAGATTCAATAGTTTATGTTGTTCTTTATCAAAACAAAGCAAATTATAAAATAGTCAAGAAGAATCAGGAAGAAGATTTTGATAACATTATAAATTTATTTAAAAATCCGTTTCGATCATTGCAATTTTTTTGGGAAACACGTTCACTCAAACTAAAGAAAATTAAAATTGGATGCAAAGATGAACGGCCCATTTTTGAATTAAATAAATTCACCACAGATGAAAAAGATACCCCGAATTCAAGAAAAAAGTATAAATCAGAATGTGTGAGAATCAAAATATGCCCTAACAATTTGTACACTCTACACATGGAACGTTTTGTAAATTAAAATAATTCAGCTGTAATAGATCCTTGCTTTCTAACACTGAAGAATGAAAAATAGAAATACATTTGTTGAATTAAAAATTTCTGCAAGTTGCTAGTCTGTAAGCAGTGCTGGGTATGGCTCGGAAGCTTGTTCCGGAGCCAGCTCCTGCGGAGCCGGAGCCAGAGCTAAGATTTTGATAACCCCGGAGCTGGAGCCGGTGCCAAGATTTTGAAAGCTCGGAGTCCAGAGCCGGAGCCAACAAAGGTCAAATACCCAGCACTTCTGTAAGCCTGATTCCTAATGTATAGGAAAGATTTCCATCCAGAACCTGATTGAATATGTTTATAGTAATACATACTAGTTATCCGCTAATCAAATTCTGGAAGAGTTCATTTACCACTTCCTATATCCGAAAATTGAATCGTTTCCGAATTTTTAACCTTTACATATACATTCCTATTAATTTTTTTAGATAAAAGATAATAATTCCACACCTGAAAAGAAAGATTTAACATGCACTACGGCTATTTATGAAAAGGGAGTTAATTTGTACGAATTAGATTTTGCAAATACTACAGGAGCCCCTTCATGCATATTATTAAACAATTATGGTACAGCAAGGAAGGGAGGAAAACTTTCCCAAGCAGAACAGCCTGTAGATTCGCAGGACAATCAAGAAAATAAAAATGATCAACTTTTTGATCATAACAAAGGAGGTATAGAATTTATTAAAAAATTATGTGAATATCGTGTCCCCTAATGGACATATTTTTCATGATATCTCGACAGTCAAGGGACCATAAGGGATGAAAAACATATAGGGATCTGCGCTCGCCAAAAGTACCAACTGAGAGAACCCAACAGAGGCCCTAGGACCAACATAGATACTAGCAAGAGAAACAGAGACTAGCAACACCAACAGATGCCTTAGGACCAACTGAAAGACACCAACAGATGCCCTAGGACCAGCAGAGAGACACCAACAGATGCCCTAGGACCAACTGAGAGACACCAACAGAGACCCTAGGACCAACTGAGAGACACCAACAGATCCCTAGGACCAACTGAGAGACACCAACATAGGCTCTTGGACAAACAGAGAGACACAATAGAGGCCCTAGGACCAACAGAGAGACACCAACAGAGGCCCTAAGACCATCAGCGAGACAGATCGACCGTTTCCTTTTCCCTCATAGGAAGGCGGAATATTCTATGTTTAATCTTATCTCATAATTTTACTACAGATTGGAATAACGCAATAATTGTTCGCCATCCACCAAAAGGTATGACAATTTTTTTCTTACTACATTAAATACTCATTTACCGTATTTACTCGATTAATTCCCCTCCCTCGATTAATTCCCCCCTCTTGAAATTAATTAATTCCCCCCTATCGAAATCCCTGACCCCCAAATACACTACTACACGTTCAAATTTCAAAACTCTAATAATTCCCCTCCCTTAAATAATTCCGCATGCAACGGATGGGTTGAAAAATAATTCCGCAGGGGAATTAATCGAGTAAATACGGTAGGTTGTATTGATAATAATATTTAAAATAAATTTTAGATCCCAATGTAGATTATAAGTCAAATAAAATTATCAAACTTCTCCGTGTTAAATATGATGAAGCCAAAAGAAAAAAACAAACACCTAAAGCATCTGCTGCGGCCGATGAAGTTAATTATGAATTCGATATAAATGTTATCACTGAAAGGATGGCAGAAAGATGCTTTGAAATTAGGGTTGCCAAAATGGACCGACTCGAACCGAAAGATCGAGTCATGCCTCGATGTTTGGCCCGAAAAAGTCTCGTACCGGCCCGACTCGATAAATTTGGGCCCGAAAAAGACTCGTAACGGCCCGACTCGATAAAGTTAGGCCCGAAAGTGACTCGTACCGGCCCGACTCGATAAAAACATGCCCGAAAAAAATTGTCTCGGAAAAAGACGGCCCGACTCGAACGAGTCTCGATAATATTTTTGCCAGATTTGTGGACAAAAATGGATGAAATCTGGCTCCTTGGCCTTCCAAAATTCGAAAAATTTTCGCCTGCGGCGCTGAAAAAGGAAGAAGTTTGGTCCTTAGCCTTCCGAATATCTCAAAATTTTTGCCTGCGGCGCTGAAATGAAAGATTTTTAGCTCCATACTTTGCTTCACATCTCGGACTTACTGGCTTTAATTGATAAGCTGGATTACTGGGAGTTATGGTATATATTCCGCGGGATCCCGTCATAATTTGAACTTTTGAACCTCAATCAGTTTTGAGAGTCCACAATTTTCCGCAGTCCGCAATTTTAACTTTAAAATACGCAGTCGCAATCTTCAGTCCACTAGTATTCCATTTATAGCGCCGCAGGCGAAAATGGTCGAAAAAAACTTCGACCATTCTTCTACTAATTTTTTCCCCCTTTCCCCTATTTCGGGGGGGGGGGGGGTGGCTCTAGCAGCGCCACTGGACACGCCCTTGGATTAAGTGTACGAGGAATTTATTAAGTGTACGAGAATCAAGGATACGAGGAATTTTAGCATACAGCGGGATTTTATTAAGGGATTTGGTGATTAACGCACGATATACCTTCAAATCTCCTCATTCCTTCTAAATCCCATTACAAAATATCACCTTAATCATCTGATATACGATCCTGAACCCCTTAATCATCTGATCTCCTTTAATAAAACCAAATCTAGCAATATCTCACCCCAATCCTCCGGTAATTTAAATCACCTTAATCCCTCAAATCCACTGATATCCATTTCAATTCTCTTCAGCCCTTCCTTTACCCTCCTGATCCATCGATATACCTTTTAATTCACAGATATCCCTCCTAATCCACTAATTATTTTTAAATAAATCTTATAAAAAAAGACTCGAAAATGTCTCGGTGCCCGACTCGATAAATTTAGGCCCGAAAAAGACTCGTATCGGCCCGACTCGATAAAGTTAGGCCCGAAAAAGACTCGTATCGGCCCGACTCGATAAAGTTAGGCCCGAAAAAGACTCGTACCGGCCCGACTCGATAAAAACAAGCCCGAAAAAAAATGCCTCGACCGTCGGCCCGACTCGAAAACGGCAACCCTATTTGAAATGTTTTCTGAAGGAAACAAATATAGAAATTTCTGTCTTAAATCTGGCAGTAAAAATATAGGCTCAAAAGTTGGAAAAAAACGAAAGGTTCAGGCAAGCAGTAAATCGCATGTGAACAAAAAAACTAGATTGATAAGTAACATAATTCATGACTCGAATCAAACAAACAATCCTCATGAATTACGTCCTAATTATTCAATTCATGAAAGCCAATTTGTGGGCAACAATGATGGGAGTAGCTCTAGTTTTTTGGGAACTGACAAAGAATCTAGTATGAATGCTATTAGAGTTGACAATGTATTACCAGAAGTTAATGGAGAAAACGCTAATGGAGGTTTACCAAGCAAGTTTTGATTAAACATTATATTGTTAGTTGAACAAAAGTCAATCTAACAAGGAGGGTTCTAGCATCCGACCTTACTGACTTTGGTGATTAGCAGTGCTCGTCCGGGAATTTCAATTATTGGCTCCGGAGTTTTAAAAATTCTATATCCGGCTAGCCCCCGGATCATACCTATCACTGATTATAGACTTCACATACTACAAATCCACATTTCCCTCATCTCTCAGACTAGCGTTCTATTGAACTCAGTTTAATTTTAGCTCAAATGAGCAACGGAGAGAGTACAGTTCAATCTCATAATTATTTCGCTGATGAAAGCAGTTCCAACAGCGCTGTGAATGGAGCAAGCTTGTTTCTATCAGACAATGAATCTGTTACAAATGTTCATAGTAGTGTTAACGTTAAACCTAGCTTAGAAGCTGTTGAAAAAATGGATGATTATTCGAAATATTTTTGGAATGATGATGAACCTCTAAATCTAGGTAAGCATTAAATATGAATAACATCATAAACTCACGAACTTTTGAACGAACGTTTTTCGTCAAAAATATTCGCGAATTCCCTTATTTATTCAGATTAAAGACTTTAAAATCTTCATAAAATAATTCACTTAACAGATTCAATTTTTTCTCCTCACCAACAAATGCAAGAGGATGATTCGACTACACATTAAGTAAGTTTTAATTTTACTATAGTAATGTGGCTAGACCCATCAAAATATAGTAAAGTTGGGAAAAAAGCTGGGTAAGTTGAGTACCGAGTAATTGGGGGAAAACCGAGTTCGAGTAATGCCGAGTTTGGAAACCCCGAGTTCGAGTACGAGTTCAACTTTTTAGCCTAGTTCGAGTACGAGTAAATCGAAATCTCATTCAATCTTAAAGTTATTCGCTACTATAATAATATTTTTTGAAGATGAGCTCAATTTATAGGTACAGACTGGAAGCAATGCCGTTTATTCATTTTCAAAGAGAGGCGCTCATTTTTAAAATGTGGAACAGATTGTATATTAAAATTCGATGTTTTCTCTGTCCGTTAATTTCAAAAGTTTTTTTGTGAAATTAGGGTCCCCAAAAACATATCAAATTATGTATATTTTTCTGAATCTATGGTCATTTTTCTTGGGTAATACCTTGGATTATTTCATTTAATTCGTAATGAATATCACAATGATAAAATTTCACAATGTTGTATGCAGAATTATGTAGCCAAAAAATAAAAAGCTAACTGATTTGTCAACTTTTTGGTGACCAAAATTTCGGATACTCTTGTCCAATCACATACACAAGTAAAAATTCATTTAACGTTTATTATTTAAAATTTATACTAAATTTATTTTATAATTTTATTTTTTAACATCTAAAATTTATTTTACATTTCATTTATGTAGTTTAAATTTAACATTTTATTAACTATAGTTTTAAAATCATATTCCTATTGGTTCCGTGACTTTTGCGCCGAGAACATTTGCGCCGCGACTCTTGCGCCGCGACTTTTGCGCCGCGACTTATGCGCCGAGCGACTTTTGCGCCGGGCGACGTTTGCGCCGCGACTTTTGCGCCGGGCGACTTTTGCGCCGCGACTTTTGCGCCGGACGACTTTTGCGCCGCCATTATCGTTAAAAATATATAACTTCAGCCGGACTCACTATAGTAGGGTTTTCGGATAGTTTGAAATCTTCGGATATGGGGCTGAAAATCATGCCGGAATAGGGTTAGCAGATCCAAATATCATGATCCAAAAAAGTCAGAACATCAGAAATCCTTTGGGATATCGGATAGGGGGATTTCCAATGCCCAGACCTAATTCACATTTATGGTCCAGACCTAATTCATTAGCTACCGGACCCCTATTGTACATACTAACTGAACTTCCTTCAGTTCATGGATACCATTTTTTAACCTCAATGGACACACTAAAGTGAGGTCCGATAGTATTCATTATTTTATTTTTTTTAAATTATGGCGGCGCAAATGTCGCGGCGCATAAGTCGCCCGGCGCAAAAGTCGCGGCGCACAAGTCGCCAGGCGCATAAGTCGCGGCGCAAAAGTCGCGGCGCAAAAGTCGCCCGCGCATAAGTCGCGGCGCAAAAGTCGCGGCGCAAATGTTCTCGGCGCAAAAGTCGTGATACCTTCCTATTATAACTATTATCAATTTTCTTTTTTGATTTAAATTTGTATTAAACTAATGATTGGACTTTAAAAGTTGAATTACGTACTTTAAAAGCTTGACCCTAGGCAAGTATCTTCTACTTATAGCAGTTACAGGTATTCTACCATCTGAGCTACTGCCTGGTCTACCGAGGGCTCGTTTAATAAATCAAATATGATCAAGGGGATCTCCCTATCTCCCTGAAGTACTAATATTTCATATAGTTGATTTTATTTAATCAACTAAACGTTTGAATTACTGAATAAACTTAACTGGGTATTATGATGATTTTGCTAATGATTTGATAATAATTATGTTAATAATAATGTCAATTATTAATAATAATAATTATTAATTAATACATAATAATAATTAATATAATGTTAATAATCATGATTTTGATAGAAGGTTAACCGAAAGTCTTTAACTTAGTGTACGTTCATGCTAAAAGTTTATTAATTTTACTGAATACATTACAAAAAATGTAAGGAAATTAAAAAAAAAGTTTAACATTCCTTTTAAAAATTAATAATTTTAAATTACGAAGTTTTTAAATTTCTTTAAAAAAATCTTTCAAAATAAGACAAAATTATTTCTTAACTGACATCCTCTTGTACCTCTCGAAATGTTCCTTTATTATTCATAGTCTGTTAAATTTAATTTTTAATAAAAAATTTTTATCTGTATAACCTTCATCACGTTTATGTTTCCCAAGGAGTGAAATAGATTTTTGATCCTTATTTGGAAGAAATTGAAGTACTGCATCTTCTATTAATAATTTTAAATTATAATTTATTTTTTAAATAAAAAGAAAGTATGCTGGCCAGGCCCTAACTATACGCTTTACCAAGTTTTTTTATCAATAACGAAGACTGATCAGCTGGGCTATGATCTATTGGAGGAGGGCTAGATATTATAAATAGAAGATAAACCTGTGAACACAGGAAATTGTGATAAAAATTTTAAATGACAGGAAAATTATCACATAATCTCGCCTGAAAGATCAACTCAGATCGGGTTATCATATTTTACTCGATTTTCTTGTCATCCTTATTGATCCTATTTAATATTTTGTCAATTCCTATATAATTTCAAATAAATTATATAACTTGCCTATATATTCGTTTGAATGCTTAATTCCAAAAATTTTGCGAAAATTCTTCATATCCTCCACATAGGTTTTGAAACGTTCACTTTTCTCGATAATTTTACCTTTTCCCTTGCTTTGAGCAGCTTTATTTCTATTAATAAAACCTGGCGGAACTTCTTCAGATTCATGATAATTTTCACTAAATTTTAATGGAGCCATCATGAGATTTTCATCTTTGCCTTAATTTAAGAAAATTATCAGAAAATATGGTACTTTTCAGTTAAGGGTTCACACTTTTAAAATGTTCTTACGAGAACTTGGCGTTCGGCAACAAAAAAACAACCTAAGACAAACCGATAGATGTTAGACTTATAAGTGTTCGGGTTTCTTTAACTTTAATAAAGCGTAGTTTTTGACCATTTCGAGCCCATAAAATTTTAATGTCATTTAACTCAGCTCGACGAGCCCCTTTGAATGACGGGCTTGTCGATTATTTTAAATTAATTTTAAAAGATAGCTGAAATATTCACCTGAATTTTTAATTCCATGAGTATTACGAAAAATTTCCGAAAGTCTTTCATAATTATTATAACTTCCATCATTCCCGTTATTATTTGTATTATTATTATCTTCCATTTCGTCGTCCAATTCAATCAGTTTACCTTTCCCTTTATTTTGGGCATCTTCATTTCGAAGAATATACCATGAAGGAATTTTTTCTTTCTGCGGTTTTTTATCAGCTAACAAAACTAGCTGGGAAATATATTTTTTAAATTTGTCTTCAGCAATTATTTCATTTTCGTTTAATAAATTGATAAAACCATTCTCTGATTCATTTATTTCCAATTTATTTTCATTTAATAAACATTCTGTTTTTGAGGTTTTTCTTGGTTTTCTTTTTTTATTGTTAGCTTTTAATATGCGAAACTCGTATTTATTTAAATTATTATTTTCGTGAATAGGCTGTGGGCATTTTAGTGTATATTCAATATGTTTGTAGTTCTAAATTTTTGAATTTAAATTTTTATTATACATATATTCATAATATATTTTATATAAGATGGTATTATCCTCAGCTGTGAAAGAATTTTTGAATGGGAGATGTTATTGAACCAATATGGAATGGGCCTAGGATGGAGCAGAGCTGATTAGCCATAATCTAACCCTATAATGGATTATCTATTATTGGGTTATTTCTGCGGCATTAGCAATCTCCTAATTAGCAAATACTATGTAGGATTAGCACAGAGTCCATCTTCACAGAAATACAGAATTACACCATGCATTACTTATGTCAGCTCAATAGCCATGAGCCACGAACAAATTTTCAATTGGAAATTTAAATCCAAAAAATCGTAGTTAAGGTACAATATGTCAGTTTATCTAATATCTGCTAGTTTTGTGTGATATCGTCCTCTCCTAGTAGATAGTAACCTGCGCCTATCGTTTGAAATCATCCTAGGTGTATCATTCTTTACAATACTCATTAATTTAAAACTTTACTTTAGCTTTTGTGTTTTTGTTATCAATTACAAAGTCGTATAAATCATTTGGGCACATTTTTGTTTTAACAATTTGTGAATTGTAATATGCTGATTTACTGCTTTTCTCCCTTTCTGGGATGAAAATTTCTACAATTTTATTATCATCATTCTCGTTTTTGCATTTTATTGTTACAATTTTTTCTTTGGAACCATCAGTTTTAAAAATAAATTGGAGAAAACGAACAGAGCGCTTAATCAAATTAATTATGGTATCGAAGTATTCTTCATCTTTTTTCAATATTTTTGTGTAGAGTATTTTGCTTTTGTCTTCGTATTTAATGTAAATTAACGAATTGTCTTCAACATTATCAATAGAAGCAATTTCATTGGAAAGCTAAATGATAACAATTTATTGAAAATTCGGAGGTCGTGAGGCTCCCCCAGATGGGACTGGGCCATTAGGGCGCGGGGCCATTAGGGCGCGAGCTTATAAAACAGTGAGTTGCTTATCAAAAAAGATAAAATTTTGCAATAATAACTCTCATTCCTTTATCTACGTTCTCCAAAAATTTCAGAATTTTTGATCAAGAATTTCGGAAATTGTTGCCAAAAATGTTGATTTTCCGAAAAAACCCTAATTTTTCGCGGTTTATTGATTATAACTTCAGAAATATTCGATGAAAAATTCTGAAATTTCTGGAGGAGGTAGTCAATGATGTTAAAGAAATTTGTTAAAATTTTCATAAATTTCGGTTTCGCCTAAGTATCGGTTTCTAGTGCTGGCGCCCTAATGGCCCCGCGCCCTTATGACCCCAACCCCCCCCCCCCCCCCAGATCGGTAAGTGGACATGTCAATACCGAAAACAAATGGCTTTTGAATCTCAGAAGAAAAAACATGACAATGGGTCGATCTTCATAAGGATTTAATAAGAAAGCACCATTATAGCTGTTTCCTAATCATCTTCCGTTTTCTGATATGGAGTTCTCCCCCTGTGTTTACCCTATAGAAATTATAATACAAATTTACAAACATTTTTATTCAAAACTTTGTAAACCTTCAAGCTGTATTTTCCCAAATTTTCATCATTATTTTCTTCACCACCTTCAAAATGAAAAGTGTCATATTTATCCGTTTCTCCTTCTTTAGGAAGTTCCCATTTATTACTAGTCAATTCCACCTTGAATCGGTGTCTTGTTTTATTAGCCAAAATTTGTAATCCTTTAGGATTATCTCGCCATGAAATCTTCACGTGAACAGACAACGCCGTTGCGTTGAAAAATATGTTTAAGAATATAAATAATAAAAATAAATACATTCTAAAATAAAAAAGGTGTATGATGTTGAAATTGCTGATTTTAAAATTGCTGATTTTAAGCAATCTTTCAGAAATTCCGATTTTTTCTTTTCAGAGTTGGGGGATTATTCCATAGCGTTTCGTTTCATAAATTAATATTGTCTAGGATTTGTCGGAATTAAGGTTGACGGATCCGGATCCGAAAAGGTAATCGAAATAGAATCTGTTTTCTAAAAGTAGCTGAACAAAATATTATTAGGGTTCGGAAATTATTAGAGTTAAATGTTATTAGGGCTAGCCAATTTTTCAATCGAGGTCTTGGATCGTCAAGCCTTTGGTCTCAGAACATCTGTCTCAATCCTCGACAAGAATAACTCAATTCCATTGAGATTCACAACAAATCATGACCACCTCCCTATTACATAGTTATCCCCTCCAACGAGAGATTCTGACAATAATACTCACGATAATAATTAAAGCATTGGTAGTTCCTATCCCTATATATGTATATTTAAATATTAAAATTAATTTTAAAAACCCTAAAATTTTAAATTAACATCGAAGTTAATTATTTATAAATTGATAAAATATAACTTAATAAGGGTGATGAATGCTCAAATTTTAAAATGTTAGACGAATTAAGAAATTACTAAATATATTCCCATGTCTATTCAATCAGTCTTGTTTATTTGTCTATAAAGTGCAGATTTCTTAACTTTGTCGGGAGTCTAAGTAAATATTTTTTTTATTTTTATGATTGAGGATAAAAGGGCAAAGCGAGAGAAAAATATTAGACAGGAAAAAGGGCATGTTGAGGGCAAAAAATTGTGAAAGATGAACAAATTTCAAAACAAATATAGATGTAGATTTCCAACTAAGCTCTGTGAATTGACATTCTGTAGGTCCGGTCCCAGACAATTTCAAATTTGGCCGACTCCAGGTTTGGCTCGGATTATCTTTCTACCGTATAGAGGGTATAATTAATAGAGATTGGGTGAGTTTTCGAGGGAGGGCAGATAATTTGTAGAAATACAACTTATGAGCTTTTATGTAAAGTAATAAAACTAGTAAAATACTATCTGAATTTTTTGAAAATTTGAAATACTAAAGCCCTTTTGCATTCTATAATTATCTTTGGTATGATGTTATAATACCAAAAGCTTGTAATACCAAAGCTTGTAATACCAAAAGCTTGAAATACCAAAATTTGTAATACCAATAGCTTGTAATACCAAACCCCCAAAAGATGTTGAAATACCAAACCGTGGAAAAAAGCTTGTAATACCAAGTAAATACCAAAACTATTATTATTCAATTTGTTACTAAAACTGTGGAATTTTTTGTTTTTTATCTCCCGACAGAATAACTTGTTGGTTTTAGCCTGTTGGTTTTTAGTCTTCGCTTGGAAAACTGTTCTTGTGCCAAGCTGATTTTTGGAGTAAAAAATTCGAATATACAAATAATAACGCATTTGAAAGGGCTCGACAAGCTGAGTTGAATAACACCAAAATCAGCTCGATTAGATGATTATGAACAAAGTTATGACCAACAGAATCTTCGCCGGAAAAACTGTTTTTGTGCTGCTACGGAGGGTAGGCCGGGCATGGTCTTCGCTACACGATGGCCGTGCTTCGCTGCGGTCGTGCTCGCTTCGCTCGCGGCGACCGTAGCGAAGCGGCGGCCGTCGTTCCGCTCGACATGCCCGGCTTCCTCCGCAGCGGCAAAAACTTTTTTCCGCGAAAACCTTGTGTGAAAGGTTTCCACACTTTGTATTATGAAGGATTTTGGAGGAGGATTATATTATACACAAAGAGGAGTTTTATAAAAAATTTTTTCACGGTTTGGTATTTCAACAGCTTTTGGGTATTTGGTATTACAAGCTTTTTTCCACGGTTTGGTATTTCAACATCTTTTGGGGGTTTGGTATTTCAAGCTTTTTTGGTCACTTTGGTATTTCAACAGCTTTTGGGGGTTTGGTATTACAAGCTTTTGGTATTATAAAACGCTCCGATTATCTTTGCTATTTAAATACTTTATCACCATGCAAATCTAGCTAAATTTAAAAAATTTTAAAAATATGTTGGACCTCACACGCATTTAGGTTGGAAATTTTTTTATGTTATTTTTAGTAAATATGTAATGAATGTATCATTATAACTTTGTGAGGTCCAACTATAATAAAAATTAAATAAATTTCATCAATTTGATCGAGTGTTTTACTAAAAAAATTACTGAATCTTTAGGATGAATTATACTAAATAGATGGTTAAATACTTTAAAAATAGTTACTATACCGTCACCAACACATGTGCTTAAATCTTTTGGTTCAAATTTAAAAATGTTACTTCCATCCGTTTTAAACTTATAAATAAATACAAGCACTTTGAACTTCACAGCAAAATTTCAGAAGTCTTTCCTCGCCTAAAGCGCGAAAAACTATAAAATATTACATGTGTTGGGTGATGTAGGAAAGGGGAGAGAGGCGGTAGAACACCAACATTTTAGGAAATTCTGTTATCAAAAATGTCAACAAATTAAAATAAATTTAAAAAATGCCCAATAAAAGCCCAATAATAGATTTTGAATGCTTAAAGCAAAATCTTTCGGTTTAAAAATATCAAAAATATTTGATGAATGTGCACTCTTCAGGGGTTTAGTCTTTGAATTCTTCTTCCATTATCATCAGTTTGCCCCAATTAGTTATCTATAAAATATATTTTATATAGGTATATTCATCGTATACATCGTATATAGCCCTCACTAAAGCCCCCACTACATGTTATATCCTTATAAGGGTAAAGCCCTCACAATGAGACCCTAAAGTATAATCCCAGGGCACTATTCCGATATTTAGGCTAATTTTATCCTATTTTCAAAAACCTCCATCGTGTTCATCATTTCCAGGATGTGGATTAGTTTGATGATACTGGAAATTTGGTTGATAAAAATGGGAATAATGTTGAATAGGTTGATCATGCTGGGGATTATGTTGCTGATATTGAGGAGGATTTTGATTGTAAGGATCATATGGATCTGGTTGATTATATTGGGGAAACTGTGGATTATGTTGATAAAATTGGGAATTATGTTGATGATATTGAGGATTAGGTTGATGATAGAAATGATCATGCGAACCTTGTTGATTGTAAGGGTCATGCAAACCTGGTTGATTATATTGGGGAGCAGTTTGCTGATTTTGCGGATTATTGAGAAAAGGGATTACTGCATCTCCTGTTTATTATTTAAGAAATTATTTCAACTATTTTAAAAACAAAATTTATATTCTGATGCCTCACCACTTACAAGCATCAGAATATCGAGCTACCAGCTGCTTTTCCATATTATTATGTCTCAAAAAAAAGAAAGAGAAAAATTTCGTGTTCATCCTAAGTTATGCTTCGTACGCACTCTACCGTACCAGATACTAAAAAGTAATAGTCTGGTACCTAACCCCATGGATCTCCTTAACCGATTCTCTAAGGAGATCCATGGGGTTAGATCAATTCTCTAAGCTAGAAAATGACTAACGCAGAAGAAAGAAAAATGGCGCGAGAATCGAATAGTACATTAATAATTAATTTTCAATAAATTTTAAATGCTTACCAATAAATTCATTTGTAGTTTCTTTTGGCATAAAAATTTTATCAAAATTTTCCCAATCATGATGATAATGCTCAAAACTTTCATTTTCCTCATTAATATTTGGAATATCATATCCCATTTCGTCGTCCGATTCAATCATTTTACCCTTCCCTTTGCTTCGATCATCTTGAATTTGAGTAACATGTCCTGACTGAATTTTTCCTCTATGATGTTCATCTGTATTTTCTCTAATTTTTATTCCACCATAATTTGTAAAATCAGGTGCCATAAAGGCATTTTTACCTTTTCCCATAGCTAAATTAATTTTTTCTTCAGCCTGTATTTCACGGTTGTTTAATTTATTAGTATATTTATGTGTGTTGTTGATCTCTACAAATATACTTCTAGTTAATGTACAAGTTACTCGTTGATCTTTATGTTGAACAAGCAAATATTCGTTTAAATAGTTATTTTCAAAAATAGCCTTATCACATGCCATCGTGCGATAGAAGTTGAGGGGGTGCTAAATTTTTTTTATTTTAAAAATAAAGTTACTCTATTGTGGCTTAAAAATTTTAACTAAAATTACATATGTATATCCTTGAGTTGAGGTAAGTATCGCTTAGGCAAATCTCCACAATTTTTTGTCGTTGTATCACTATTAGAGTTGTTTCGAAACAAAAAAGTCTTCGAAAATCGGGACTACATTTATTTTTTATTTTTGATAAAGTTTATTCATATGCTCTTAGACAAGGAGAAAAGTCGATTATGATAATCTCCGTTGACTAGGAAAAAATTGGAAATAACACAATCTAACTACTTTAGCCATCATATCTTGAAATATAGTCTTAAATAGAGATGGAACTAGTAATCAGAGATGGGTCGGAACAGTCAAAGGTGTCGGAAATCGGAAGAGCCGGAAATCGGAACTGGCTCAAAAGTCGGAACTCGGAAATCGGAAGGTTTTTTCGGAAATCGGAAGGAAAAAACGTCGGAAATCGGAATTCCGACCCACCTCTGCAGTAATGAGAGATGGATCTGTATTGGAGCAACGCTTAGTATTCACCTACTAATCAGGTAATTTAAAAAACTTTAATGTAACACTTACTTTTGCTCCAATCCTTTCAATGTTAATAGCGTATTTATCGTCTGGACATATTTTTGTTTTAACAATGGGTGATTCATAATAAACATCTATAGTGGGAGATTTATTAGTAATATGAGGGTTAACATCAAATTCAACAATCTTTTCATTATTGCTCTCGTTATTGCATTTTATAGATAATCTCCTTTTCACTAAACCCCTAGTTCCAAATTTAAACTGCAGAAAACGAACAGGGCGTTTAATTAAACTGATGATATTATCAAAGAAAACATCCCCATTTGATATCTTAGTGATGTTTGTTTTGTCTTTATTTTTGTAGTTAATGAGGATTATTGAATTATTTTCAAGATCATCAACAGAAGATATCTCATTATTAAACTAAATAATAAATTATATAAATTGGAAGCTAAAGAGATAAAATTGAATCAAGCGGTATGCATAATACTCGACTGATACATCTCCAAATGTCTCAATATCTACATGATCCACCCAAATCTATGATTCCGCCTAAATTCCCCGATATCTCTTCGAAAGCTCTTAATTCCACCAATATCAAACGTGACACTTAAAAAATTATTTGATTAAGGCCCAATGTTTCTACTTTATATAAACTGTTAACCATGAGCTAAAAACATCGGCAACACTCGGACAGACCCCAAATATATCCACAGATATATCCACAGATCCTATTTTTATTTATTTAAAAGGCAATTGTCAAACAAACATTTTCATTAAAAATTTTCAATGAATATTTTTCCAATTCTTCAGAATTATTTTCTTCAAACTCTTCAAAATGAAAAGTGTTGTATTTATCTGTAACTCCTTCCTTGGATTGTTCCCATTTATCGCTGGTCAATACCAAGTAGAATCGAGGAGTGCCTTTCAGACCCAAATTTTTTACCCCATAAGGACCTTTTCCTCCCCATGAAATCTTCACAAGAATTGACAACGTTGTTACGTTGTAAATTATGTTTAAGAATATAAATATTGAAAATAAATACATTCTAAAAAACAAACAAAATAATAGCCAGTTCAGCTTTATTTAACAGAGGGTCATTATTATAACAGAGGGTCATTTATTAGTCAGCTTTATTTAACAGAGGGTCATTATAAAGGGTAATTATAGCCAGTCAGCTTTATTTAACAGAGGGTCATTATAAAGTGTCATTATAGCCAGTCAGCGTTATTTAACAGAGGGTCATTATAAAGGGTAATTATAGCCAGTCAGCTTTATTTAACAGAGGGTCATTATAAAGTGTCATTATAGCCAGTCAGCGTTATTTAACAGAGGGTCATTATAAAGGGTAATTATAGCCAGTCAGCTTTATTTAACAGAGGGTCATTATAAAGTGTCATTATAGCCAGTCAGCGTTATTTAACAGAGGGTCATTATAAAGTGTCATTATAGCCAGTCAGCTTTATTTAACAGAGGGTCATTATAAAGGGTAATTATAGCCAGTCAGCTTTATTTAACAGAGGGTCATTATAAATTTTAAAAGGTAAAAAATAAAATAAAAAAATTAAATAAATGAATGGCTAATACACCTAATGCCTATTTAATAAGGGAGACGATGAGCTGCACTTAGCTATTCAGCCAATAGGTATAAGACAAATTTCTTAAAATGTCGTGTATATGTATTTTGCTAAAAATTTAAAGCTTATAAGAAGGGGAGATGAAAGAAAGGAAGGGTACAAAATAAAAGAAGGGTATAAAAAAAGGGTACAAAATGAAAATCAAATCTAGTCATCGTATACTTTGGCCTGTATATATAAGTTGTTTCGAAATTTCGATTTTAGCGAGGGTTTTCTTTGATTTCGAAGATGTTGAAATTATTTCCGGGACGCGATTTTTGAAGATTTCTTTGCTTAGAAACAACTTTTCTCTTTTAAAAACTTAAAACCTCATTAATTATAGTAAATATTCCCAGTATATTATTAGAGACCTCGAAGCAGGGCTGGACGCAAATTTTCTGCAGCCGCATTCCGCAGTCTGCAAGTCCAAAAAACAGCAATTTCACGCAATCCGAAATCTCAAGATATAAGGGTTAAAGGGATTTGACGGATTATGGTTTGGTTTTAATTGATAGCAGTGATTTGAAGTCATATCGAGGATTGGTTATTTGAAAGAAGTGAGTGAGATATCAGAGGATTTGGATGAATATACGGATATCTGAGGATTAATCCATCGAGATCCCTCTTAACCCACATTAATAACCTGACATCACTTTTAATCTATTGCAGCTGGATTAATAATGTTTTTAAAAATTTCTTGGTGCCGCGATTTAATTATACCTAGAAGCTAGCTTTTAAGGAGCTGCTAGGCGATTTATTATAAGTGATTAAAAGGAATATCTGAAGATTTTTAACGATTTACCGTCGGAGGCGAAAATTTTAAGAATTTTGAAAAAATCTTGTCGGAAATAATATTTTCGGAAATTTTTCCAAAATTTTGGAAATCGGAATTCCGATCGACTCCTGCTCAGGAGTCTTTTACATTTTGGCCTTAACGTTAATAATCATTCACTTATAATGAAAAAATTGTTAAGGGCTGGAAATATGCCAAAAAAGACTAGATATTATATAAAAATTTATCAAATTCTAAATCCAAAAAAATTTAAATTTCAGAAAAGTTTTCAAAAATATCTAATATAAATATCATCATCATTCTTTATAAATTTAATTTTTAATTAAAAATTTTTATTTTAATAATCTTCATCACGTTTATGCTTCCCAAGAAGTGAATTAGGTTTTTGATGATGCAATTCATCCTTTTTTGGTAAAAATTGAAGTACTACATCTTCTATTGATAATTTTAATATTTAAATTTTATTTTAAATGTAATCTTAAAGTTATCTAAAGGATTTAAAGTTGAACGCTATCAAAATCCGCAGAAATTTAAAAATTGAATGAAGAATCATAATCTGGACCTCTCTCAATTGCTCTCCTGCCTCGGTATCCTTTCATACCGATAGCGATACATAATGATTCAGATTCTTTGACAGAATTACTTGGCTCCCTATTATTCTGATTTGAGCCGTATAGGAAATTATATCAGAAAAAGGATACCAGCAGATCACAATTTAGTGTACTAGGTAATCAATGTTATAGTTACAAACCTATAGAATATTGTTATTTTATGATAACTTGCCCTAGAACCGCATATTTTAGTTTATTTAGTGCTGATTTAAATAAAATACGGTTTAAAAGCTTTCAAAACAGTTAAAAGCCTTTTTAAGTCTCCCTTGGTATTAGTTCAGAATCTCTTATACCTTGAATCTCAATCTCCTATTTTACCTTGTGACAATAAAAATAAATTACACATTAAAAATTATTTTGTTACTTTATAATTTATTTTTCAAATTAACATAAACTTGCCTAAATATTCGTTTGAATGCTTAATCCCAAAAGTTCTATGAAGATCCTCCATAATTTCTCGATAAGTTTTAGGACCTTCACTTTTTTCAACAATTTTATCCTTCCCTTTGCTTTGATCATTTTGCTTTTGATTAGCATGTCCTAATAGAATTCCTTCCTTACGTGGTTCATGTTCATTTTGTTTAATTATTAATGGAGCCATAACGACATTTTTGCCTTTTTCTTTAGCTAAATTTAGGAAGAAATAACCAGAATTTTTTTTAGATACTAAATTAACTACTTTCATTATTTAATTAAATCATGAATAGGACCTCGTACCTCGTAGTACTTATGCTAACATATACCCATCAGGCTCGTAGCCAAGATTTTTTCGGGGGTGGGGGCCAAGGGGTGAAAATTTTGATTTATAGAACCGCAGGCGAAAATTTTTAGAATTTTAGAAGGCCGTCCCCCCCCCCCCTACCCCCCATGGCTACGGGCCTGATACCCATTGAAGGTTGCAACTCTCTCTCACTTTTAATCTAGTTTAAAGACTATACTAGTTTAAAGACTATACAGTTGGTTTTTGGATAATCTTCAGTAAATTTCGTTAGCTTGCCTAAATCCTTTGAATTCTTAATTTCAAGAATTTTACGCAAATTCTCCAACTGGCCTGCATAAGTTTTAGGACTTTCAACTTCCTCATTAATTTTACCCTTCCCTTTGCTTTGATCATCATGCTTTTGATCATTAAGACCTGACTGAAGTTCTTCGTTGTGCATTTCGTGTTCATCTTCGTTAATTTCTATTGTTTTCGTCAAAGGCTTACCAAGATATTCATCTAAATTTATAATTCCAGATGGTTCAGGAATAATTTCCAAATATTCTTTATCCGTTTTATCATCTTCATTTTTTTCATTAATCTTTGGAGTATATTCCATTTCCTCGTCCGATTCTATTATAATTGGTTCTTTACCCTTCCCCTTGCTTTGATCATCCTGATTTTGATTAATATGACCTGACTGTAAATTTTTTACTTGCGGTTCAAGTTCATTTTCGCTAATTTTTAATGGAGTCATAACTACATTCTTGCCTTTTCCTTCTTCTTTAACTAAATTTACGAAGATGTAATAAAAAGATTTTTGGATACATATTAATGTGATTTAGTGCCCGATGCGTTCGTTCACCATGTATAAGTGCTTTGAAGACACCCCGCCGGAGCCTGTTCACCTTTTCTTTTGAAGTATCTTAAACCCCTGCTAGTTGCTTATTCAATGCTTCTTTTCTATCAGTTTAAGGACACAAAATAAGTGAGAACGCTTGATCTTCAAAAGTGAACTCACAGAAAATGTTAATTAAACCTGATCATCTAGGTTTTAAAAATGTTACGGGACCAGTATCATCTCTCCCATCCTTCTAATCTGATAATTTAATCAAAAATAAAATTCTTTATTACCATCAAATGTCCTTGCTTCACCAATATATTCCCTAAGTCTTTCTTCAGCAATTTTTTCATTTTCGCTTAAAAGATTAACGAAATCCCCCTTTGATTCATCTATCATTACAAATTTACTTTTATCTAACAAGCACTCAGTTTTTGTACTTTTTGTTTTACGTTTCCCTTTTTTATCTTTATTTAGTACATTAAACTCGTATATATTTAAATTATTATTCTCGTTTATAGCCTGTTGACACTCTAATGTGAATTCTCTGTGGTTGTACTGCTAAAGTTTCAAATTTAAATTATTTTTATTATATTCAAGTAGATACTAGAGATCGAGCTGGACATGGACCCAGGCCTGGGTTTTTCCTGTACCCAGAGTCCAGGTCCAGGCATTTTTTGATCTTCCTGGTTTTTTCCTGGACCAGGGTTTTTCCTGGACTAGAGGCCCAGGATCCAGTCCAGGTCAAGAATCAAACTCCAGGGTCCAGGAACAGGTCCAGGCTTTTCAAAAATCTCAATCTCTACTAGATACATTGGATGGGAGAAGCGAATGAGCTATTTTTGTTATTTTCGAGGGTTACCCCAGATTGGAAAAATCGACTGGCAAATGGATAATAGTTTATCCAAAGTAGAAAGTAGCAATGTAGGTGGGGGAGGATTGGTTGGAAACAAACGAAGGAGATCAGAGACTAGTCATGTTAATATGATCCAACTAGACTAGCTTTTATAAAATCATAAACTGATAACAGTTGTAATCAGTACTTAGACGCTTACCGTATTTGCTAAAATAATTACCCAGGGTAATTATTGTTTCAATCTCTCGCTGGAGGGGGTAATTGAAAGAGAGAGGGTAATTATTTGAGCTTTTTTAAAAAAGGCTGCAAATTATAGCTATTTTTAAGAGGGTAATTATTTTTTCGATCTCTGGCTGTAGAGGGTAATTAATAGGGCAGGGGTAATTATTTGAGAGAGGGACATTATTTCAGCAAATACGGTATACAATATTTATACTCCTGCCTAAGAATCATGGCTAGTACGAAGTAATAATCTCATTTATTTTAAAGATTTTACTTTAGCTTTTGGCGCGACATTCTTTTTAATTGTAAAGTCGTATTTATCATCTGGGCACACTCTTGTTTTAACAATTTGTGAATGATGCGCAGCAACTTTATTAGTTTTTTCCCTTTCAGGAATGTTAATTTCAACAATTTTATCATTGTTTTCCTCATTTTTACATTTTATAGTTACAACTCCTTCCATACAAGCTTTAGTTTTAAAAATAAATTGAATGAATCGAACAGGGCGCTTAATTAAATTAATTATGGTATTGAAGTATTCTTCATCTTTTTTTAATATTTTTGTAATGCTTGTTTTGTTTTTGCCTTCATATTTAATGTAAATTAATGAATTGTCCTCAACATTATCAATAGAAACAATTTCTGTGATTAACTAAAAGATAGCAAGTTATTTATTGAAAATTTAGAAGATCCTGAGGATCATAGATATCAGTAGGGGAGCATGAAAAGAAGCAATAACTGAGAGCTTGAATCTTAGAATAAGAAACATAAAAAGTTCTGAGAGTCTATCTACACCTCTAAGGGTCTGTCTATCTACATCGACTTTATTACATTCCGTCTTAATTTCCTTCCTCTTACGATCCGTAGGGTACCTCTAAGGATCGTAGGGTACCTCTATAGATACCTGTTACGATTCGTAATTAATTGTCTTCAACATTATCAATATATATGTATATACCCCTCCTTATACCCGCCCCCTACTCACTTATCAAATTCTTTTCCTTTTATGTCAAATTTGTTGTCTTTGGAAAGAGTTTCTAGCTATGGATAAATAGCAGGTATTAAAAATACTAAATAGATAATCCTCCAATTTAGATAATGTACCTCTAAGGATATACTATTAAAGTAAAATTATTCTAGAATTTAGTTGGAAATTTTAGTTGAATTTACTACATATAAAACTAATAATAAATTTACTAACATCTTCATTTAAAACTTTATACACTTTCAAGCTGTATTTTTCCAAATTTTCAGTATTATTTTCTTCACCCTCTTCAAAGTGAAAATTGTCATATTTATCTGTTTCTCCTTCCGTGGGCAGATCCCATTTATCACTAGTCAATTCAACATTGAATCGGTGGGTGTTTTTCGAGGCCAAAATTTTTTTGTCTTCAATTTGATTTCCTCGCCATGAAATCTTCACAAAAATTGACAACGTTGTTACATTGTAAAATATGTTTAAGAATATAAATATTGAACATATAAACATTCTAAAATAAATTCTATGATTATATAAGTGTAAATTGCTTCTTCTTTAAAGCAAATTTTACTAAATCTCAGCTTTTCATAGAATCTAGGTCTCAGTCCTTCCAATAAAGATTTTAATTCGATAGAGAGACACACGAAATCCAGGACCCCATAAACATTCTGAGGTAAGAGAATCAACGATAATTTTAATTCGATAGAGACAAACACAAGATCAAAGACCCTTTAAACACTCGGAAGCAAGAGATTGAAACAGAATCGGCACATTAATTATATGAGGAGCCATTAAAATAGAGGCAGCATTCTATTTTTCAATACCCCTAAGGGGGGGGGGAATAGAATGGAGGGGCCATTCAATTGGAGGGGCCATCTATTTGGAGAGGTCATTCTATCAGAATTCTACTATCAGAATATTTAATTAAATATTAAAAATCCTAAAATTTTAATTAATGCTTGTTTATAAATTAATAAAATAAAAATTAATAAGAGCGATGAATAGCTAAAGACTTTAAAATGTTAGACGAATTAAGAAATCATTAAATGAATTCCCTCGTCTAGTCAATCAATCTTGTTTATTTGTCCTTAAAGTGCAGATTTCTTAACTTTGTCGGGAGTCTAAATAAATATTTTTTTATTTTTTAAAGTGGCGATTGAAAGGAAAAGCGCGAGAAAAAATTGTAAACAACAAGGGCATGTTAAGTGCAAAAAATTTTGAAAGAGAACAAATTTCAAAATCGAATATAGACATTGATTTTCAAGACATTTTGTAGCTCCGGCTCCGAACCTTTTCAAATCGTTCAGGCTCTACCTCCTAGCATTGTTCAGCATCCAGCAAGAAAGGAAAATTAATGTGGATGGGGTGAATTTTCGAGGGAAGTCATGTAATCTGGCATAGTACAACGGAAGATCCTTTATGTGGAAACAATAAAACTTAGTTCAATATATGTACGTCTTAATTAATTTAAAATATTTAAAAATGTGAAGAAAGTTTAGTATTCTATAATTAACTTTTCTCATTTAACTACTTTATCATTGTCTAATTTAAATAAAAATTTAAAAATGGAATTGTCGGACCTCACACGTCTGTCACTTTTCGGTCTGAAATTGTTATTGTAATGAATATGTAATGTATAATTCTCACTTTGTGAGGTCCAACCATGTAATAATTCATCAGGCTCGTAGCCAGGATTTTTTCGGGGGTGGGGGCCAAGGGGTGAAAATTTTGATTTATAGAACTGCAGGCGAAAATTTTAAAAATTTTGGAAGGCCGTCCCCCCTACCCCCCCTGGCTACGGGCCTGATACCCATTGAAGGTTGCTGCTCTCTCACTTTTAATCTAGTTTAATGACTATATTAGCTTAAAGACTATACAATTTATTTTTAAATAATTTTCAGTAAATTTCTTAGCTTGCCTAAATCCTCTGAATTCTTAATTTCAATAATTTTACGCAAATTCTCCAACTGGCCTGCATAAGTTTTAGGACTTTCAGCTTCTTCATTAATTTTACCCTTCCCTTTGCTTTGATCATTCTGCTTTTGATTATTGATATCTGACAAAATTTCTTCTTTGTGCAGTTCCTGCTCATCTTCGCTAATTTCTAATGGTTCCGTCAAAGGCATACCAAGATATTCGTCTAAATTTATAATTCCAGATGGTTCAGGAATAATTTCCAAATATTCTTTATCCGTTTTAATATCTTCATTTTTTTCATTAATCTTTGGAGTATATTCCATTTCCTCGTCCGATTCTATTATAATGGCTTTACCCTTCTCCTTGCCTTGATCATCCTGATTTTGATGACCTGACGGTAAATTTTCTTCTTGCGGTTCAAGCTCATTTTCACTAATTTTTAATGGAGTCATAACTACATTTTTGCCTTTTCCTGTTTCTTTAACTAAATTTATGAAAAAGTAATAAAAATATTTTTGGATATTACTGGCATTCTGGATACTACTGTCTTTTGTTCAACACGTAGGATCAGCGCGCTTTGAAGACACCTACCGAGACACGTACGCTAAGCTCAACACGTACGCTAAAGCTATTTCTCTCCTTCAGCTAGTGCAAAAGGTTATTCGACGGCTGGGTGCGAACTAGCATCTTCAGTAAACCGGACTGATGTGTTATCCATTACAACACCTACTGCACAGCCTTAGGCATTAAATAGCTACATATATGCTTTACATTAGACAAAAAATTTTAATTAGAACCGATCATCTAGGTTTTTAAAATTTGCTACGGAACCAGTATCATCTCTCACCCTCCTAACAAATATTAATCGAAAATAAAATTTTTTATTACCTCCAAATGTCTTTGCTTCACCAATATATTCCTTAAGTTTTTCTTCAGCAATTTTTTCATTTTCGCTTAAAAGATTAATGAAATCCCCCTTTGATTCATCTATCATTACAAATTTACTTTTATCTAACAAACACTCCGTTTTTGTTATTTTTGTTTTACGTTTCCCTTTTTTATCTTTATTTAGTACATTAAACTCGTATATATTTAAATTATTATTCTCGTTTATAGCCTGTTGACACTCTAATGTGAATTCTCTGTGGTTGTACTGCTAAAGTTTCAAATTTAAATTATTTTTATTATATTCAAGTAGATACTAGAGATCGAGCTGGACATGGACCCAGGCCTGGGTTTTTCCTGTACCCAGAGTCCAGGTCCAGGCATTTTTTGATCTTCCTGGTTTTTTCCTGGACCAGGGTTTTTCCTGGACTAGAGGCCCAGGATCCAGTCCAGGTCAAGAATCAAACTCCAGGGTCCAGGAACAGGTCCAGGCTTTTCAAAAATCTCAATCTCTACTAGATACATTGGATGGGAGAAGCGAATGAGCTATTTTTGTTATTTTCGAGGGTTACCCCAGATTGGAAAAATCGACTGGCAAATGGATAATAGTTTATCCAAAGTAGAAAGTAGCAATGTAGGTGGGGGAGGATTGGTTGGAAACAAACGAAGGAGATCAGAGACTAGTCATGTTAATATGATCCAACTAGACTAGCTTTTATAAAATCATAAACTGATAACAGTTGTAATCAGTACTTAGACGCTTACCGTATTTGCTAAAATAATTACCCAGGGTAATTATTGTTTCAATCTCTCGCTGGAGGGGGTAATTGAAAGAGAGAGGGTAATTATTTGAGCTTTTTTAAAAAAGGCTGCAAATTATAGCTATTTTTAAGAGGGTAATTATTTTTTCGATCTCTGGCTGTAGAGGGTAATTAATAGGGCAGGGGTAATTATTTGAGAGAGGGACATTATTTCAGCAAATACGGTATACAATATTTATACTCCTGCCTAAGAATCATGGCTAGTACGAAGTAATAATCTCATTTATTTTAAAGATTTTACTTTAGCTTTTGGCGCGACATTCTTTTTAATTGTAAAGTCGTATTTATCATCTGGGCACACTCTTGTTTTAACAATTTGTGAATGATGCGCAGCAACTTTATTAGTTTTTTCCCTTTCAGGAATGTTAATTTCAACAATTTTATCATTGTTTTCCTCATTTTTACATTTTATAGTTACAACTCCTTCCATACAAGCTTTAGTTTTAAAAATAAATTGAATGAATCGAACAGGGCGCTTAATTAAATTAATTATGGTATTGAAGTATTCTTCATCTTTTTTTAATATTTTTGTAATGCTTGTTTTGTTTTTGCCTTCATATTTAATGTAAATTAATGAATTGTCCTCAACATTATCAATAGAAACAATTTCTGTGATTAACTAAAAGATAGCAAGTTATTTATTGAAAATTTAGAAGATCCTGAGGATCATAGATATCAGTAGGGGAGCATGAAAAGAAGCAATAACTGAGAGCTTGAATCTTAGAATAAGAAACATAAAAAGTTCTGAGAGTCTATCTACACCTCTAAGGGTCTGTCTATCTACATCGACTTTATTACATTCCGTCTTAATTTCCTTCCTCTTACGATCCGTAGGGTACCTCTAAGGATCGTAGGGTACCTCTATAGATACCTGTTACGATTCGTAATTAATTGTCTTCAACATTATCAATATATATGTATATACCCCTCCTTATACCCGCCCCCTACTCACTTATCAAATTCTTTTCCTTTTATGTCAAATTTGTTGTCTTTGGAAAGAGTTTCTAGCTATGGATAAATAGCAGGTATTAAAAATACTAAATAGATAATCCTCCAATTTAGATAATGTACCTCTAAGGATATACTATTAAAGTAAAATTATTCTAGAATTTAGTTGGAAATTTTAGTTGAATTTACTACATATAAAACTAATAATAAATTTACTAACATCTTCATTTAAAACTTTATACACTTTCAAGCTGTATTTTTCCAAATTTTCAGTATTATTTTCTTCACCCTCTTCAAAGTGAAAATTGTCATATTTATCTGTTTCTCCTTCCGTGGGCAGATCCCATTTATCACTAGTCAATTCAACATTGAATCGGTGGGTGTTTTTCGAGGCCAAAATTTTTTTGTCTTCAATTTGATTTCCTCGCCATGAAATCTTCACAAAAATTGACAACGTTGTTACATTGTAAAATATGTTTAAGAATATAAATATTGAACATATAAACATTCTAAAATAAATTCTATGATTATATAAGTGTAAATTGCTTCTTCTTTAAAGCAAATTTTACTAAATCTCAGCTTTTCATAGAATCTAGGTCTCAGTCCTTCCAATAAAGATTTTAATTCGATAGAGAGACACACGAAATCCAGGACCCCATAAACATTCTGAGGTAAGAGAATCAACGATAATTTTAATTCGATAGAGACAAACACAAGATCAAAGACCCTTTAAACACTCGGAAGCAAGAGATTGAAACAGAATCGGCACATTAATTATATGAGGAGCCATTAAAATAGAGGCAGCATTCTATTTTTCAATACCCCTAAGGGGGGGGAATAGAATGGAGGGGCCATTCAATTGGAGGGGCCATCTATTTGGAGAGGTCATTCTATCAGAATTCTACTATCAGAATATTTAATTAAATATTAAAAATCCTAAAATTTTAATTAATGCTTGTTTATAAATTAATAAAATAAAAATTAATAAGAGCGATGAATAGCTAAAGACTTTAAAATGTTAGACGAATTAAGAAATCATTAAATGAATTCCCTCGTCTAGTCAATCAATCTTGTTTATTTGTCCTTAAAGTGCAGATTTCTTAACTTTGTCGGGAGTCTAAATAAATATTTTTTTATTTTTTAAAGTGGCGATTGAAAGGAAAAGCGCGAGAAAAAATTGTAAACAACAAGGGCATGTTAAGTGCAAAAAATTTTGAAAGAGAACAAATTTCAAAATCGAATATAGACATTGATTTTCAAGACATTTTGTAGCTCCGGCTCCGAACCTTTTCAAATCGTTCAGGCTCTACCTCCTAGCATTGTTCAGCATCCAGCAAGAAAGGAAAATTAATAGGATTGTAAAAATACATCAGAGATGGGTGTTTTTTCCAGGCCAAAATCTTCCGTAGGCATGCAACGGAAGATCCTTTATTTAGAACAATAAAAATTAGTTCAATAAACGTCTTAATTAATTTAAAATATTAGAAGATGTGAAGAAAGTTTAGTATTCTATAATTAACTTTTCTCATTTAACTACTTTATCAATGTCTAATTTAAATAAAAATTTAAAAAAATTGAATTGTCGGACCTCACACGTATGTCACTTTTCGGTCTGAAAATTTTTTTGTTATTGTAATGAATTTGTAATGCATAATTCTCACTTTGTGAGGTCCAACTATGGTAATAATTTGAATAAATTTCATCAATATAATCGAGAGTTTTTCTAAATACTACTGAATTGTGAAGGGAACAATGTTTTCCAGGGAGAAATATCATAAATAAATGTGTTAAATGCTTTAAAAATAGCTACAAATGCCTTCACCCACACATGTTTTTTAAATCTTTAGGCTAGAATTTAGATGGGTAACTACCTACAGTTTTAATCTGATCAAAGCACTTTCAACATTTCTGAAATAATCCGATCCGTCTCCCAAGTAGTGTCGAATTAACTATAAAATCTTACATGTGTTGGGTGAAGGAAGAGAAGGTGCGAAGTGAGAGAACAGTGAGGGAAATTCGGTTATATAAAATTATACTAATTAAAAATAAAGTTAAAAATGCCCAATAAAAGCCCGATAATAGATTTTGACTCGTTAATGCAAAATCTTTCAGAATAAAAATATCAAAAATTGTTTCGTGCGGCATACACTTCAGGTGCATATTTTACATCCTTCTTCAAATTTAGCATCTGTATTCGTTTTCTGCATCAATTTAGTTATCTACAAATTTTATTTTATGAATATCATCGAGAATACCCTCACAAAGGTACTTTATATAGATTTCCCTTTTTCTTACATTCTATTTAATGAAACCCAAAAAAAAATAAAAGTCGAATCTTCTTTTAAGATATTTACGGTAATTTTTAATATATTTAGATTAAAATACCTCCTTTGCGCCCATCACTTCCATGTTGAGGATTAGGATGTGGATTTACAGAATGTGAATCATTTCCATGCTGGTGATAATGTGGAATAGGCTGATTGTATTGTGGAATATTCAGAAAAGGGATACCTGCATCTCCTGTTTATTAATTAATAAATTTTTTATAAATTTTGAAAAATCAAATTTAATTAAATATTGGTCATTCATATCTTAATTAATCTTTTCTTGTACTGACACACAACGAATCCCTATTCTAAATCCCGTTTCCAGCTCTAGTCATATTGAATTAGCGCTACAAAATAAATACTTGTAGGTCCATGACATAAACTTTTAGTTATTGAGTCCAAAAAACAAAAACCGAGGATACTATTAAGATATTTCGATAGTTTTCAGTATAATTGTCTTAAATACCTCCATCATGTTTATCATTCCCATGATGTGAATGAGGTTGATGATATTGGGGATAATATGGAGCAAGTTGATGATATTGAGGATTAGGTTGATAATATTGGGGATTACTTTGATAATTTTCCGGATACATTTGAGTTTGTTGAGTATATTGAGGTGTAGGCAGAAAAGGTTGTACTACATGCTCTGCATATTAATAAATTTTTTATAAATTTTGAAATCGAAATTTATTTTCAATTAAGTGATTTTCTTATATAGTAATATTCTTTTCATTTACCAATGAACCATTAATATGATTGAATTTTAGGCATAAATTGTTGTCTAGCATTTTTGAATTATTATAAAGAGTTAAAGGCTATTCCTTATTGTATTACGATTACACTTTAAATTCTGATAGAAGAGATAATTAAAGTTTAACCGCAAGATAGCTTAACCTCGAGATCTGGCTGATCTTCCATTTCTACATTAGATTCTATTTCTAGATTATTTTTGTTAATTTATAATTAATTTTTATAAATTACTAAAGCTATTTCTTTAATTTTTTTGAGCCGCATGGGAGGCAAATAATCCAGATTTCTGCCATTTTTGTATATTATTATTATCAATTCTTTCGAATCGGGCCTCAATTTTATCGAAACGGGCAAATCGAGCTTTTTAGGGCCAAAAATCAAGCCCGATTCGATCCTTCGGCACGAAACGAGCCTGGCCGGCAGCCCTAATGATAATGCTTGAGAAAACATAGCTAAACATTTAGCAGCGAGCAGACCTGAATGTGATCTGAAGATCAGTTGGATCTCCCTTTATCTACGCAAATTTTTATTTATGATTATTTTTGTTAATTTATATTAATTTCAATCAATTTTTTATGCTCACCTAAATATTCATTTGAATGTTTAGTTCCAAAAGTGTTCCAAAAATTTTCCGTATCAGCTGCAGGGTTTTCATTTTTCTCATTAATATTTGGAGTTTCATCGTCAGATTCTATCATTTTACCTTTCCCTTTGTTTTGGACATTTTGAATTCGATTAAAATGCCCTGACGGAGCTTTTCCTCTATGCTGTACAGCTTTATTTTCGCCAATTTTTATTCCACGATAATTTGTAGAACCAGCTGCCATACCTACATTTTTGCCCTTTTTCATAGCTAAATTAATCCTTTCTTCAGCATTTCTTTCAATTTCGCTTAATTTATTGATATAATTATATGGGTTGTTGATCTTTACAGATACACCTTTATCCAATTTACAAGTTACTCTTTTATCATCATTGCCTATACTTTTAGAAAGCAAATATTTGTTCAAATAATCATTTTCAAAAATGGCCAAATCACATTCCATATTGAGATAATCATTACTTGGGTGCTAAATTGTGTAATTTTAAATTCTTATCTATACAGCTACAAAGATCTAAATTAAAGTTACCCTATATTGAATCCTTAAGTAGGGGTAGATATTATTCTACACTAAACTCAAAATTTTTTAGAATGAAACGAAACAAAAACAAGTTCTTATACAAAACAAAACGAGTGTACGGGTAGGTATACTGAATATTTGATGTTTAGGGGAGATTACTAACTGAGTAATTAAGTAGTGAGGGGTGTTTTGTATTAAGCATGGCCAATATATTTCACCACATTAACCTAGTAAACAATTATTGGACGCTTATTGTAAGGATGATTCACCCAGCAGAATTTAAAACGCTTAGGCGGGGGTTAAACGATCTAAAAAGGAAAAAGAGAAAGCATTAGTCGTTGCCCCGGTAGCTCAGAGGTAGAGCTCCTGCATATAGTGAGCGAAAGCGCCTAGCAACAACTAGAAGGTGGTCGCAGGTTCGAATCCTGCCCGGTGGCTAAGCTTTTGCAAACTCTTTCTTTATAAAGATTGGACGTTACATTGTAGTATTTTTCTTCAATTGATCCAATTCTAACTTCGTATTTATCATCTGGACATATTTTTGTTTTAACAATGTGCGATTCATAATAAATTGGTACATTACTAGTTTTCTTATTTTTAGGTTCAACATTAATCTCAATAATGTTATTATCATTATTTCTCTCGCCCTTGCATTTTATCGTTAATATTTTGTTTTTAAAACCTCTAGTTCCAAATACAAACTTCAGAAAACGAACAGGACGTTTAATTAAATTAATCATTGTATGAAAGTATTCTTCATCTTTCTGTAGTATTTTTGTAAATGTTGTTTTATTATTTTGGAAATTAATGTAAATAATCGAATTGTTTTCAAGATTATCAACAGAAGCTAATTCAATCTTAAATATAAACTATTTTTGTCAACTAGCAAGTGGATAAAAAATTTATAACAGCTAGTTTTATCAACTATTTTAATCAACGTTGATAAAAATTTTTATCAACTATCAACTATTTTTATCAACTATTTATAATCTTAGCTTAAACATTATTAGCATACTTTTTATAAACATCAACTATTTATTATACTTTTTACCAACTATCAACTATTTTCATCAACTATCAAGTTGATAAAAATTTCCATCAAATATTTTTATATACTATCAATTTGATAAGAATTTCTATCAATTATCAACTATTTATTCATATCAAGTTGATAAAAAATTTTTTATCAACTATCAATTATTTTTATCAACCGTTTAGTTACCACAGTCAAGTATTTAGATTTTATCAACTATTTTTATCAACAATTTTATCAACTATTTTTATCAACTATCATAACTCTGAGCTTAAACAATTAACTATTTAGCATACTTTATATAAACTCTCTAAATCGCTCATATCTCCAAATATCCCTCAATCGTTCTTTATCCCCCCTCCCATCCCTTTTCACTGACATAACTTAAATCTTCCTAAATTAATTCAGAACTCCTTTTATAGGAGTTCTGTTATAGGAGTTCCCTTATATCCAACAAATTTAATTATACTGTCAAACAAACATTTTGATTAAAAACTTTCAAGTTGTATTTTTCCAATTCTTCAGAATTATTTCTTTCAAACCCTTCAAAATGAAAAGTGTCGTATTTATCTGTTAATCCTTCTTTGGGGTGTCCCCATTTATTGCAGAACAAAACCAAGTTGAATCGGTGAGTGTCTTTCTGAATCAAATTTTGTAACCCATAATGTTCATTTCCTCCCCATAAAATCTTCACAAGAATTGACAACGATGTTACGTTGTAAATTAAGTTTAAGAATATAAATATTGGAAATAATAACATATTCTAAAAATAATTAGGTAAATTCAATTTAAAAGATTTTTAAAATATGAATTAATTTATATTAAGTAGCTTGTTGTAGTGGATAACACAACATTTCAAGGCGTATTCGCTCCCATACGCCGAATTACTTTTACATTATTTCAAGGAGAGAAGTTAGCCCAGTCCGTCTCTATGAGAATATATAACAAAATTTAAATATAAATTATTAAAAAGCTTAAATTAAATAAAAATTTTAAAAGGTGAATAGCAAATAAAATAATGTATAATGCCTATTTAAGAAAAATTGACGTTTTGACTTAGCTATTCAGCCAATAGGTGTGTGACTCGTCTATATAGCTAAGTGTCTATAATGAGGAGGGGTAGCAAGTGAGAATGAGGGGAATAAATGAAAAATCGAATCTCTATACATTAAAGCAGGGTTAAAAAGAAAAACTAACGCCATTTTCGATCCACGTGGAATGGAACTCAACATTTCTTCTGAACATAGCTCTTGTAATTTAACAGACTCGACCAGTTTACGTCAAATTTTACTGAAAAACTAAATCATTTAATTCATATTGTACATTACTATTAGTAAACTTTCTATCAAGTATCAACTATTTAATAAACTTTTTATCATCTTTTTAGTAAACTTATCATCTAGCAAGTTGATAAAAATTTATATCAACAATTTTTGTCAACTTCAAGTTGATGAAAGTTTTTTTATCAACTTTCGGCACTACTGAAGAAAAGGGTGCTTTTTATGCGGACTTATTTTGCGGACTTTTTTTTACTTTTAAATGATTCTTTTTTAATGTTTTGGCTGTCTTGCTTGTAGCAAGTTTTGCTTGTAGCAACTAACTGTCAAAGGATTAATTTATATGCCAATTTGAAAAATATGTGTTCACGATTAATTTGAACATTATAAACGTAAAAAATGTTACAATCAATAAAAAATTTTACTTTAACTAAATTTTCAATTATCCGATGATGAATTTCAACAATGGATCACTGATCTTGGAATGCTTCATCGAAAAAGAATATGTGATTGTGGAACAGAGATGCGGGTAATTCCTTGTCCCCCCCCCCCCCCCCCCCCCCATTATTTTTATTACCTAAGATTGTACAACATGGTCAGATTTCCTTCTTACTCTTTTTCCTCTATTTGAGCTTGGCATATTCAAACAAGAGACATTGTTGATAAAGAGAAGATTAATTGAGTTGTTCAATATTTTTAATTGAGGTGTTCGATATTGAGTTCAATTTATTTTTTCAGTTGTTCAAGATTTTTTAAATATAAGTATGAATGTAATGTTTTTAAACAGAAATGCATAATGTTACACACCAAATCATTTTATATAATTCTTTATTTTGTTTAAATTGTTTTCGAAGGCAAAAAAATAATCTTCTCTTTATCAATGTCTCTTGTTCCAGGGCAAATAGAGGAAGGAGAGCAAGAAGAAAATCTGACCTTTATGTACAATATTAGGTAAGAAAAATAATAGGGGGGAAGGCCTTTGACAGTTAGTTGCTACAAGTAAAACTTATAAAGGAAAGGAAAAGTCCGCAAAATAAGTCCGCAGAAAAAGCACCCTTTTCTTCAGTAGTGCCCAACTTTCGACCATTTTTATCAACTATCATAACTTTGAGCGTAAACTATCAACTATTTAGAATACTTTTTACTAACTATCAACTATTTTTATCAACTATCAAATTTATTTATTAACAATCAAGTTTATTAATAATTAAGTTAACAATCAAGTTAACTGGCTTATGTTAAAGTGGATAATTAAATAATAAGAATAGGGGCACTCTTCCAACTTCCATTTATTGCAAGCTAATTCTTCCAACTAATTCCATCCCGCAACGTTTTTTGAAATAATCCCACTTGCAGGATATGGAATTTTTTAAATTAAATCCACGGGGACATAATTGAGGTATATACAAGAGGGACTCAATCGTGCTCAATCGTGAGGACTCAGTCTAGCTGCTCCGCAGAAAACACACACCGATTCAACTTGCAATTGGCTAGCGATAAATCTTGAAAGTCTTCAATAAAGATGTTTGTTGGATGTCTTTTCTGATATCCGTTCCAAAAAATCAAAATAGGGAACGTTTCCATAAAAATGGCGAATCTTTGTTAGTTCTAATTCTGTAAGTGATTTGCCAATGTAAAAAATAGACCTGTAAAATACTCCAAGATAGCCTTAAATAATAAAAAAGCTTACGTTAACACACCGTAACAATTTCATTAAAAAATAGATTATGAACAAAAATCCGATCCCTAGTTATCACGATAACAACGATTTCAAAAAACGTAAAACAGTGCCAAAGATCATACTAAAACAATTTTCTTTAAAAATATTTATCCCAAACATTATAAACAAATTTAAATTTACTAACAGAAATTAATAATAAAAACATGGTGAGGTTGGTTATGAGGTGTAAAATATACATAAAAATTTCTTAAAATAATTTCTTTTTACTAAACAACTTTTTAAAATTTTTAAAAACGCCAAATCTGCCTCCTTTTTTCTTAGCGGTTTTTGTTTGATCGCCTTTAATCTCCTCGTTGCTTTGATTGATGCCTTTATTCTCTTCGTTGCTAAGATCCAAAAGATCTCGAAGACTAACTCGTCGTTTCTATTAAAATTTGAGAGATTATTCATTATATTAGCTAATTAGCAATAAATGTTATAGTGGTTATAGTGATAATAACATTGTCTTTGTGTTAACAAAATCACAATGGCTAGAATAGAAATTATAATAATTCAACAATGTCGACAATGTTCTAATTTATTTGCTGGAAATGTGTTAATTTAAAATACCACAATGTTTAGAATCTACCAACATCCCCAAACAATTCCCCTTTTCTTATCTGCTTTATGTCTTGACCCTTAAATTGACTTTATAAATATCCCAGCCTTCTCCTTACTATCAGAACTAGGTTTGGATATGGACTGAATATGTCCTTCCATTATTATTGAGGCCCGTTTTCATATGAATAATAAATAATATAAATAAATCGAATAGTGTTATTCAGTCTAATGATCCTCTGAAAGTAGAAGACTCTAGTTAAAATGTAAACTAATTCAGTTACCTATATTAATCCCAGTCAATTTATGGGTCCAGGGTGATCCTTCCAAATCACCAAAAGGGCATGGCTTCTCAAAAATGTTACCATAAATGCCCATATAAGACGTAAAAGTCACCCTGATACTTACCGGCCCCGGTTCAGGCTGAATTTCTGATGTTGTCGTGTGTATCTCATTTTCCAATTCAATTATTTCATGACTTTTATTCTTCTCAGACTTTTTACCCCCATTCCATTCACAAACTAAAGTACCATTTGTATCTGTGTTACACTTTTGTTTCTCAGAATTTTCGGCTTCTTCCAAAGTTGTTTTAAATATATTTTCAAGTTCAGGTTCTGGTTCTTCATTTTCCGAGTCAGACCAGATTTCAAAAGATGTTGTGGATGTTTTTGCTTGTCCTGAGTTATTTATTTCTGTTTCCATTGTTCCATCATTGGAATGATTTCCTATTTTATTTTCAGCATTTTTCATGGTATGCATATCTATTGGTGCAGTATAAGATGTATCAGAAGTTCCCTTTAAATAAATTATTCATTTAATTTTAATGTCTTAAATGAAGATTTTTCACGTTTATAATAATAAGCTCTAGTAAACTTTCATTATATAGCTCTAGAGAAATAAGATGGAGATAAAGATGTATAGATATAGTTCACAATGATTTTAAGCTTTAATAAATAAAATAACTTGATCAAGAATGGAAAATATGCATCCATTGTACTGTACTTTTATCATATTTTTTATAGTTATACAACTAGATTTACAACGAGATCCTTAACCGTATATCAAAAAACTGATCCTTAAGGAACCGTGTAGCGGGAGAGAGGGGAGAGAAATTCTCTCTAGCGTGAGGGAATCTAGCCTCCTACTCAAAATAAAAATTTACAGATTCTAGTTGCCTGAAGTATTTATCAGCTTTTACTTTGCCTGAATCAAAGGTTATATAACCAGAGGAATCCTGTCAAATTAGAAAATTTATTAATCTATTAATGAAATATTTACTGATTCAGCTTCTTTCTCAATTTCACCATTTCCAGTTATTTCCAACTCTTTTTTTGGACTACTACCAAGACTATAAAGCTGGCTTGAATCCTGAATCAATGCAAAATTTCAAAAATAAATTATTTGATGATGAAGGTTTATAATACTGTCGGAATTTAGTTAAGCTATTCATAATACTTGATCAAGCGAAGCTACGTTCAGACTTCAAACAAAGCAAAAATGAAACCGACAGTCTGTGGAGGGATGTTTGAAAGTTGAAAAACCTGAGATTGGGAGCTCTAAGAATCAAGTCTCATTCAGTTCTTGCTATCTATTGGAAGCAATAAAAGTTTTTAAGTGGTAAGCATTTGCTTGCTTTGTGAAATCCTAATCGTCATATGATACCAATTTTTATCGTATGACAGATGTGCATCTTATAATGAGTCCGACAGTATCATCTATAAATAATTAAACTTGCCCGATCTGAAAACCCGTTAACATTATGATTATTTATGCCGTTATCATGGTTGGGAGATGCCATCTTTGGTGTAGAATGTTCCTTTAATTTAAATTATTAGATAATTTAATATCTGAAATACCGTTCCATTATGATATTCTGTGGGCCATACAAAATCCATGCCATCTGGTATAAACCCGTTTGTTGAAGATGAAGTTTTGGACTAAACAAGCAAAATTTGCTCATATTATTAAACTAGGGACAGGTCAGAAAAGGATGGCAGTAGGTTGGGTATTATAGACATGTTGGGTATCACATTAGAATTATTAATCATGAGATCTGTCCTTCACATATCTAGAAAACGAACTGTCCTTCCTTGGTTCCTTTTAATGTCATTCAAAAGTTAGGGGTCCTTGAATCCTGGGATAAGATGTTAGGTCGCAGTTTCTGTGACCAATTCTAAACAGATTGTGATCGCTAACTAAGTTGTTGTAATCGCTAACTAATTTAATTTTAAAATTACATTGTCAAAATTTTTCAGAAAATCAAAAGGATCAGCATCTTTTTTCTTTCCCTTTGGTGATACATATTCAATTGCATCTTTCATAAAGTCAGGGTGACAAGAATCAGTAGAAGACTGAATAATAAATTTATAAAAGTCACAAGTTTCTGGAAATGGATCAATCAGTTTGGAGGTACCTAGTTTAGAGTTAAGTAATTAAGTAGTTTGGAGGCAACCTTATGAGCAGGTACCTAGGTTATAACCAGTGATGTCAAAGTTCCAAAATTTCTCTGGAACTAGTTCCAGTTCCAGAACTAGGTTTTTAATTTTTGTAGTTCCAGTTCCAGTTCCGGAACCAGGTTTTTAATTTTTGTAGTTCCAGTTCCAGTTCCGGAACTCCATTTTTGAAATCCCTTAGTTCCAGTTCCGGTTCCGGAACTAGTTCCAAGCTAGTTCTAGTTCCAAATTTACTCCCACATTTGATGTGTCAAGTGTTGAGCGTTGAGTGTCAAGTGTTTTAGTCCGTGCCTTTTTAATTCCAATGTAGGATAGATACGTACTACTCGACACTCAACACTTGATAGTCGTCCGTGTCGAGTGTCGAATGGTTTCTTATGCAGTCTGCACCAGGGGTGTGCCGTTTTTTTCAAGTGTTTTCTAGATTTTTTTGAAAGTTAAAACACTCAACACTTGACACGGATGTCATTGTGGGAGTAGCCTAATTTAAAAAATCATTTAGTGTCGCATTCACGGGATCCCGTAACGGGATTTTTTAAAAAAATTTTTACGGGACAGGATGCCGCGTGATTAATCCCTAATTCCGATAATCCCTTCTAAAATTTAGATATCTGGGTTATAAGAGGATTATGAGTGATAACGGAGGATTTAAGGAGATTGGAGGATAAACTGGAGGATTAAGAGGCCGAAAAAATCCACTTTTTCAGCGCCGCAGGCGAAAATTTTGAGAATTTCTAAGATTGTAGGCCGAAAAAATTCACTTTTTCAGCGCCGCAGGCGAAAATTTTGAGAATTTCTAAGGTCGTAGGCCATAAAAATTCACTTTTTCAGCGCCAGATTTCTTCCATACTCAGCGCGCTGCAGGTAATTTTCGAGGAAATTTTGTCAAAAATATACCCCCAAGAACTAGTTCCAGAACTAGTTCCAAAGCTAGTTCCAGACATTTACTAGTTCCGTAGTTCCAGTTCCAAGCTAGTTCCAGGCATTTACTAGTTCCGTAGTTCTAGTTCCATACTAGTTCCAGATAATCGTTAGTTCCGTAGTTCTAGTTCCGGAACTGGAACTAGAACTAATTAGTTCCGGAACTGGAACTGGAACTTTGACATCACTGGTTATAACCTCTAATTAATAAACGATTTATTACTATTTTTCAACCCTAAAGGGGTTCTGTATAAAGTACAGAATCATCCATGTAGATTCAACGAATCAGAAAATTTACATAATTATTAAATCCATTAGTCTCGGGTTGTTTGGACTTTACACATTTTTCCTTTTTTCCCTTGCCTTTATCAGCATAGCCATTATTTGCATTAGATAATTCTTGTATAAATTTTCCTAAACTGTGACCATTCCCATTATTATTTGAAGGCTAAAAATTTTTTAAATTGAATTTTTCTTTAATATGTTTTAACCATACATAGCTTATATATGTAAAATTTGGGTCGGCTAATGAAACAATTCTTGGTTGTGGTGGAGTTAATGTTGATTTGAGCTTAAAATTGAAAAATACTTTAAGTAAAAGTAGGTGACTAGAGCCCCACATAATAAAGTCCATAAAAGATATAAAGTCGAATCAATCTAATCCTAAGACCGAAATTATCTGGCGTAAGGGGAGCCACCAGAATAAATTGAGCTGACATAAGAAGGATGACCTTGGAGAACATTCGTAACAATAAGAGATTCTATGATTCAACTCTATCTTTCTGTTTTGATTCAATCTTGTAAAGGGGATTTTCGTTCACTGATTTTGATTGTGGGGTCAGCAGGAAAAATCCGAGATGGGATGAATCCGAGGTAGGACGAATTCAACTGAGACGAATTCAGAGATTTATTCATTGGGACGAATCTGGGGGTATTTTTGATAGACAAATCCTGCGCCAACGTTATATTGATGGAACCTCGTTTACCTACGAGGTCCCATTAAAAATTCAAATTAAAAATCAAAATTTAATTTTAACTCACAAGATTTGGTGGAAATGACTAAAAATTAATTTATAAATAATTCTTAATTTAATTTATCTATACTTTGAATTTTTCAAGTTTCTTCAATATTGGAGATTTAGTGGATTTTTCATTGACTGAGGCTGGCTGCGGGGATTTTAATGCATTTCCCTAGAATAAATGTTTAAAAGAAATAAATATCAAGAATTACTTTCGATCCAAAAATTGATCTTGGCGAGGGCTAAAATTTAAATAAAAATAAACGAATACTATTTTGATTATAATGGCATACTAGGTTTGGTATTGATATAGAAAGCTTTGGCTTTTTCCAAGAGTGCTGAAAATATTAAGAAAATTTTTTGTGTAATATTCTAAGTACTATGAAGACTAGTTAATTTTCGGTTTCGATATCGAATACGGATATTCGAATATTTCTAACTATCCGACGACCCTACTATAAATTAGGGTATATCCTTAGTAAAGCGAGTCCTAAAGGAACGGACAAGGCAACAGCAGATCGCTTCTTCATTAATTCATCGGAAAGTGTGTATTGTTGATATTATTGTTGATTTCCATCGAGGATTATATGCAAGAACTCTCCCTATATTCATCCACTACGTGCGATCAAATTTCCTATACACTGCGGAGTTCCCACATGATTGCAACATGCGCGACAATGCTAATAACATCAACTTTACATCAAGGCACTAGGGAATGGGGACTAACTGATTTAATATAAATATTATGATTCAATTTATTTTTATCAACAGGGATAGGCGCATTCAGAGTTTTTGAGCACTTAAAGTCAGGAAACTATAATCAATCTTTATCAGTAAATATTTGATTTTTATAATGTACTACAACTAATATGTATCACAGAATGTGAATTATTTAATAAAAATGCTCATGATAAATCAAAAACTATTTCTGGTCTTCGTCAGTTTCATTTGCGTTTTTGAAATATGCTTTTGCGCCTGTCCCTGTCAATGTTTAGGCTCAGACTATTTTTTTAAATTTTAAAAAATATTTTATTGTAAATTTTAAAAATATACTTTTAATTTCCCATTCTCACTCGCTTCCTTCATGTCTTTATCATTATCTAAATCATGAGGAGTATCGGGTGGGGAATCAGCTGGGGCTGATGCTGAAATCGTTTCTTCACTTTCCTGTAATTTAATTAATTTTGTAAAATTAAGGTATGATGCCTGTATTTCAAGGTGGTTTGTTGAAGTCGATGCTTCCATCTGTAATAATAATTTATAGAAAATATTTTCAAAGGGTCTTCGCAGTCTTCTCTTCATTTCTTAGTGGTATATTTCAATATTTCCAATTACATTGCATGCTAGGTGGAATAAAAGGTACCAAACATTATTTCCTATTCTATTATATTTCCTTGGATGTT